TAGAAAAACCTATTCTACAATATTTACTTATAAATTAACTTAATAAATATTTTTAAAATATTAATAAGAAAAATGTACCATCGAGATCATATGAAAAAATGATCTACGTACACTCTACCCTTTAACTAAACTCCTATGCAAATTTTAATGTTAAAAAAAAAAACTTACATCTATTATTATAATAATATATTATTAATAAATAAAGTGGTATGACAGATTTATTTATACAGTAGTAGCAAAAGCATAGCGGGCTTTATTCTGATTGGGTAATAGAAAATGAGTTCGAAGTAAAAAAAAAAAATTAAAATTCAGATGATACGATATATTGTGTAATGTGATGATTATTTAGTGATTGACCAATCAGAATTAAAGTCTGCTATGCTAGTAGATAATTATTATTATTTAATGTTAACGCATGTTTTTATCTTTTACTATTGAAAAATTTTTGATAAGAGATGAAGCGAAAGCTCATTTACAAAATTTACATGAACAATTTAAAGCCAAAAGTTCAATTAATAGTATGAAAAAACGTCAAAATGAATATTTTAATGAGATTGAACATAATGATAATAAAAAACAAATTTAATCAATAATAAGCCGGTATGTGACTGTATTTTGACAAACTGGTTCATTTCGTTATTTAACCCATGAGTATGTTTTAGAACTCTACGATATTTTATAGCTTCGTTCGAATTATTTATTGTGTTAATTCGTTTATAAAACAATTATAGTCGAGATTTACCATAACGAACTTCTTTATAATGATCCTTGAACATAACGAACACGAAATTTTAAATTTATATTAGTTGAGTTTGTTTTAGAACTTTACAAACTTTATAGCTTCTTAATTTGTTCATGAATACAGATTCGTTTATAAATCCAATTATAGTCAAAGCTTACGATAACGAACTTCTTTATAATGAATCCTGAACATAACAAACGTGAAAATTTAATTGAGTTTGGAAAGTGTAGATTTTTTTTTTATATATCCAATAATTTGATATTGCAAGGCGTAGAGACCAGGTTTTGATAGCTTGCATTTAGAAAATAATAAGAAAAATTGCATTTATGGAAGTCTGGTATACAGTTAAACCTCTCTAAATGCAACCTCCCTAAGCAACACCTCTCTAAATGCAACCTTTAACTCCGGCCCAAATATATACCAAACTCCCATAAATGCAATTTTTTTATAGTTTTCTAAATACAAGCTATCAAAAGTCTGATCTCTACCACTTGCATTTAGGGGGTTTGCATTTAGAAAGGTTTGACTATATACTATCTAATGATTTAAAGACAAAGGCAAACATTCTAATTAAACTTCTGTTTATCATAAATCTTCTAAAAAACTCGAATTGCAAGTGAATCTATTAATATTGAAGAACAAGAAAGACTTTTAAGGATTGAACATGAAAAACCTGTGATTCAAAAAGATAAAAATAATGAATTGAAAAAAGAAATTATATTGCAAGAGGAACTTCAAAAACTTTTATACAATTTACTTTATAAATTGATATATCGATATATAATAATATAATATTATTGTTTTTTTTAATTAACATCGCAAATATGAATGTTAAATTAATTACACATTTAAAGTAAACCTTTTTTTTTATTAATTTATCGTTATATTTATTATAAATTAAAGTAAAACTTTTTTATTAATTTATTGTTATATTACCTACATAATAAATTATTTAAAAAATTATATAAGTTATTGACCACAATCCCTAACAAATTAGGTAGATTGAGTCTAGCAAGCAATGAACTTGAATTCCCGATAACAGGGTTTTCCTTTGCGGTAATTTTAAATTGCTTTCAGTAATATTAAAAAGTTTAGCGTATCGTACTGTACTGCTGTTTATAATTTTTATTCAATACAGTACAGTACTCATTTACATTTTATATAATGAAAAGGTGAACTCTCTTTAAAAATAAAAATATTTGCATCCAGTGCATACATATTTCTGGTCTAAAAATAAAAAAGCATATTTACAAATAAAAAAAGTCAAAAATACATCGAAAAGTGGCATATCTTTAGAGGTTGGAAGCACGGGTGTAAGGTTTGCGATGAATGCAACAAAGTAGCAGATGGAGTATATAAGCGATGTGAATGTAATTCTCGAATCATTAACGTTAAATAAAAATAAATCAGAGATAATGATTTGGTAATATGTAATGATAATGATAATTTAACGGAACTAGTACCAAACGTGTTAAAATTTGTACGTAAAGCCTTCTCATTAATGAAAAAATCCCAGCTATCCCGCAGTTTTCCTGGTGGTTGATTTCGTATATATAATCATATTTATTTTTGCATGTGTGTTTCGTGAATTTGTTTTAATTTAATATATCGCATTTATATAAAAATTGTAAGATGTTAGATAAAAAGACGGACGAAGGTTATAATGAATTTATCAAAGAATACGGGTTAAGAGAATTGGTATAATGAAACTTGGGATGACTGGATTGATTGGGATGATCTTTTTTGAGCAAAACCTATTAGAAAACAAAGGTGATCAAGTATTGGAAAGAAAAAATATTTAAACGATTTGTATATAGTTTACCCGCTGTAAGAAATCCAACAGCTTTGTTCGATATATTCATACAATCCGATGCTTTTTATCTTCCCCAAATTTTAAGTCTGATAGAGTTGCATGATCCAATATAAAATGTCGCAATTTAACTAGCAATGAATATTACGAATTTTCGAATTTTATCACAACCCCTAATACGGCATTTTACTTTTATTATTATTACAATGAATAAAAAAACAAATCAAAAATTCTAAATTGGGTCACTCGACTTTCTGGATAATTACTATCTTGGGTTAAAAAAAAGAAAAAATCAAAAGTTTTAAACAATATAATTATCGACTTGTTAGCTCACAGGTGATGCAGATCTTTTTTTATTAATAAACTAGATTTATTATATATAGTTAAAAATATATGCAAAGATGAGGGTGAATTATCCAGGTTTATTGATTATTTAATTTTTTCAACAAGTTCGATACGTAATTAATTCCTCATATGTATGACTCATATGTTTGACAAAAAATCATCCGATACAATGTGTTCGCTTTTTTTTCGTGATAAACTAGTGATCCAACGATTAAATCAGAGATCGAAACCAAATCTTAATGATCATTATACTTTAATTTTTTTATATGGTGTGATCATGTTGATCTGTGATTCAAGAATCCCAATGATATATTCTAGAATTTCCTTCGCACGAGACAAATCACCATCAAATGGGCAAGACAACTGCGTTGTCATCGCGATTTTCGGTTCCTTAGAGTCGCCGACCCAGCGAATGAACACCCATTCGCGAGAGTTCGTTACAATACCATCATGACAGGAAACTTGCCTTCTTCAAAGTCAGTCTGATTGAGTTTGTGCTTTTTCTCTAAAGCCTGAAAAGCAAATTTTGAACTACTGTAATTAGATATCGAATAGGAATAAAAGGAATTTTCTGCACCTCGATTGCGCTGTGCATTTGGGCGAATGCTTGCGCTGTACCCTGATTGAAGTCTTCTTTCTTTACCTCAATAACAATTACTAATATGCCATCACTCTCGATAGAATAATCAACTGGACCAAACCCCCGGCTTCCCTGGAGATTTATTTCCGCGTTCAGTTTTAGATTATGCTGATTTTTCTTCAAAATCACAACCGCCGTTGTGAGAAATGGTGAAGTGAACTCACGAACAGTGGGTTCGTTGTTGATTATTTGAAAGGCTTCAAGTTTTCTTCTGATCTCACTATAAAATCCATCCGGAACTTCGATCTCTTTCTCAGGTTTTGGTAGTTCATCTGTGTGTAGAAATTAGTTAAATTATATACGAGCATAACACATAGAAACGTACACTAATCTGAAAAGATCAAAACTGCACTTTTGTCAAATTTAGGAGTAGAATCTATAGAATCCCACATTTCTCCAAAGAGGGTTCTAGTGATTTCACTTAAATTCCATTCACTGTAGGCTTTCATTCCTGCCGAAACATGAAAATCGGACATATGAACATTCATATCATAACTGATTAGGACTTTCTTGAACGAGATAAACCAACCTTCCACTCGAACAGTCACAGACACCTGACGAACTTTATTATCGTTCGGAGATATTTGTTCCACCATCGCATTAAATTCATATTCGTTTGTAATTTCAGTTTGTGTAACATTATTGAAGAAGAAGAAGTGTGGGCGCGGATCCGTCTTCAAAACATCGAATTTATCTATGGCACGCTGACGCGAGTTAAACCACATACCGGAGTTATGAGGTATTGTTGCAACCAGCCAAGGTTTGCCGAGATTTATGCGAATTGAAACTTTAAGACGACAAACAAAAAAATTAGTATGATACACCAAGACGTGGCCAAGTAAAAAAAAAAAATAAGACATTTTAATTTACCCCTATTATCAGAGAACGGGTATCGCAAAATGAGAGGCTTTTCAGAAGTAGTTTCCAGAGCTCGCAGTAAAGTACTGCTAGCAAGCTTTTGGATACGTTCAGTATCGATAAAGAACTGGAGTCTAGTCTTATCCAGAGGCGGGTGAACTTCAAACTGTGAGAGAAGGAGTGTTTTGAGACTATCCAAGTCAGCATGATCATTGTCCAGCTCAAACTTCTCAGAATCTTCTGAATTTTCAATCAGGACCCACAACGTCACTGTCATATTTTACAAAGGTATAGGATAGATGAGAGCTGCACAAGGAAAACCTGTAAGTAAAATTTTATTCGTTAAAATATTGTACGATTTTGACCAATCAAATTTCAAGATCAGCCTGATCTTGAAATTTGATTGGCCAAAATCGTACAATATTTCAACGAATTAAATTTTACTTACAGGTTTTCCCTGTGCAGCTCTCAGATCATAACTTATAAATCGATATTTTTTGCAGTGTAAAGTACCGAATTTTTGGAGCTCATGTTTTTTTAATAACATATATCCACCGATTTGGTTTCACCCCAAAATTAGCCAATCATGATCGAGAATTATTTGCTATTAAAATTTATTACACAAAGTGAGTTTTTACAACAACGGTCTTTTAAACTTACTTTTAATCCATAATTAAGTGTATAGAATATTTTAATACAGTCAGACCCCTCTAAATGGACGCCCCTAGCTCAAAAAATTGTCCACCCCCTTTAATTTTGACCAATCGAATTTCAGGATCAGGTGTAACGTAAAAATCAAAATAAACCCATTTTTTTACACAAAAACAAGAATAACTCTAAATTTTAATTAGAAAACCACCTTCTGCAGCCTAATTAAAAATGTTCCCCATGATATTTTACTAATAAGTATTATATCGTTCTAATTCTAACCCTAATTATAATACGATTTTCTTGGTTTTCATTTTACGCATAACTTTTTTATTTAGAAAACAAAACACATTTGTTTTGACACCTGATCTTAAAATTAATTTGTCAAAATTACTGGGAATAAACAATTTTTTGTGGGAGCACTACCTAAAATTTTTAAATGTATCCTTTCTAAATACAGCACCCCCTAAATATATGATATAAGCATGGGTTCATAGTAGGACTTATAGATAAATGCATTTTCTTTATTCTGTAAGTGCATGCTAATTGTCTGGCCCACTTATAAAAATTCCTTTTATAAATGCATTCATGTGATTATCAACTAATCAAATCTATTATTCTAGACTACTAAAATTATGCTTATCATATAATAATAGTTACATTGTGATTTTATTAGTGTTCTTTAATTGAAACTAATCTCAGGCTTTTAAGTAAAGAGAAAGAGAACAACAAGAAACACTTAGTTTTTTAAGAGACTTGAGTAAG